GATTWATGTGCTCCATTCTCAGTCTCATTGTCAGCTCTTTTGTTCCCTGGGCACTACCCCCAACCCAGAAGTGGTGTTGGGAAAGAACTGGGTAGCCTTCAGCCCTCCAGAGTGAAGATTCGAGGATGAGGAGCTGTGCTGATTCCTCAGTGTGGAAGGGTCTGTCCCAGAGAGCGTGAAGCCATTATGGAGTAACTTTTTCTTGCTTTCTGAGGCTGGACCTAAAAGCAGTTTCAGACCTGAACACCAAAACCTGCAGGKGTGTGAGGGAGAAGGGAAGAGGTGCTCAGCTGTGCAGGAATCCTGAGCCGAGCTGCAGGATGTGTTCAGCCCTGACCCTTTTTTCCTGCAGCTTTCCTGGCAGCTCCTGAAGAGCCAAACACTGCAGGTTTTGTGTTCAGGTGAGGGGTGTCCCTGGAAGAGGAGTGCAGGATTAGAACCCTGAAGGCAAAGAAAAGGAGGAGCTGGGGTCAGTCATGTGTGGGAGATGGTTTGGGTGGAAGGGGCAAAAATATTCATGAAACCTGCAAAATGCATTCTTTATAATTTAACTACTCCAGCAGAGGCCTAGAGAAGAAGCTTTGGAATGGAGCTCTAGCTTGGGAGAGGAAATGGGAATCTGAGCAAAGCATTGAGGGGAAAAAGTCAAAACAGTCAGATGGCACCTGAGAACTGGAAATGTTTTGGGAGTAATCCTGCACACAGCAGAAATTTATCACTGTTCCCTTTCCCTGTTCCCAGTCAATTCCAGGCATGCAGCCACTTCCAGCCTTCCTTTTCAGCTTCTCTCAAGGAAGGAAAAGAAGATCAAGTGGATTTTCTTGTTTCTGCTGGGAAGGGAGGGTTTGGGAGCCCATGCCAGCAGCAGTTGGAGGGCAGCTGGCATGGGGAGAGGAGGGCTGGAGGGCTGGGGCTGAGCAGGTTCTCACTAGAAGTRGGATGAGACAAGTCTGCATTTTATAAATGCACTGGTTTTTCATACATTCTCATTTCTCCACCTGATGGGTCTGTGAAACAGCCCCAAGTACCAGAAAAGCATCTCAGTCCAAGCTCTTGTTTCCACTGGCACAGAAAATCAGAGGAGGCAGCAGAACACCCCCACCGAGCCCTGTGCTAAAGGAGCTTTGCCAGAAACCCTGTTCACCTTGGGGAAATCTGCTTCCTCTAGGAACATGTGAGCTGTACTCCAGGGAAAGTTGAAAATGAAGARGAAAAGATTGCTCTCTGCTCATTTCCTCAGCAGGAGTTAGATGTGTGTGTTCCTGGTGCTGTGCTGGTTTCCTGAGGCAGCCCCAGTTCCCCACCAGGAGCTGCAGCTTCTACCTGGAGGCCTCAGTGGGGTCCTGTGGTGCAGCTGTTTCCCAGTTCAAGACATTTACTAGTGTTAAGCATTGGTGGTCAGTCTTGAGGCTGTTTCACTGTAGATGATGGTTTAAAACAGGAATTTGTTGCTGTTATTTTCCAAGGCACCCTTTTCCTCACTGGACCATTGAGAGCAGCAGCTTAAYGACATGTTTTGTGTTGCTGGAGCTGCCTCTGGACACACCAGCCACTCCATAATGCTGGGCAGGTAAACACAGGGATTTTGCATATTGTAATTCTGGTTTACCTGTGCTGTCAGGATCATTTTTTCAAGTTCTGTAGGAAYTGCCTTTGCTGTAGCAATGCCAACYTCCTGCAGCAGTGCAGGGCAAACACATGGCTGAAGGCTGGACATGGCCTGTGTTGGGCTTCACTTTGCAGAACACTTCATGACAGAAATGTTTTGATAAAGATTTATTGATGCATGAGACAGAGGTGTTATAGAGTGACCTTTTTTTTTAGAGAAGTACATAATAAGGAAATGTTGCATTAATACTTGTACCAGTGTTACAAAACAAAGGCTGGTATTGCTCTTCCACTGTACCCAGCCACAGCCTCAGCAGTGCAGTCTCTAAAATGTTCCCCATTTAGCCAAGGTGAGTGAACTATGGCCATCCATCACAAAATTAGGAAAGCTTCAAGCCCCTTATTCATTTACAGTGCCACAGGGCAAGCCTAAAAATGCTGATCAATCATCATGGGATACAGAGTGCAAGGTCTACTTGTAAAATAAATGATTTTGCAATTGCTTTGAAAGAAATAAACCACACAGCCTCTCCCCCRGAGCTGTCAAGGTCTTGTTTTCAGCACCCCTGACAAAGGATTTTCCATGTGGGGACGATGACCGAGGCTTCCCTACCGAGGAACAGCACAGATCTTGTAGGGCTGTGGGGCCATTGCGATGCCTATTATGGGCTGGAGGCTGAGCGTGGTGTTTGGGGGTACCTGGAAGGTGAATTTCTGGAGCAGGGTTGTGAAGAAGAGGAAGAGCTCAGCACGGGCCAGCACCTCACCCAGGCAGGCACGCTTCCCTGTGGAGACAGAAACCCACAGCATCCTCAGACTGTGCTTTGGCTGCTGAAAATGCTTTGCTGCCCTTAGGACCGTGGTCCAGCTGTGTTACCCCATTCCTGGATGAGTTCAACCCAAACTAAGCTTCCCAATAATGACTGGCCCCCAAAATTACATGACTTCATGAGGACAATTCACACACACAACCTGGATGTGTCTGTGCTGGGAGAGCTCACCAAGGAGAGCTGCCTGCGGAGGTGTGTGATGCTGGAGTGGGAAATGGGGGCTAAAAGCAACTTCCCCAGGGAAGCTGCTGGCTGCAGAATTGTGTGGTGGCAACAGTGAGGCCCCTTGTGAGCTCAGCCATGGGGCCAGCAGGAGCACAGAGCAATGCTCTTGCCTCAGTGAAGGTGTTCCTAAGGTCTCTGGAGTTTTCATGGGTTTTATTCACCCCCATCTCTTCTGTGCATGTGAAGAGAGACAAGAAAGGGCTCCAGGTGTGGTTGTGGTGCTTTGGGGAGGCCGTGGGAGCAGTTTGAGCAGCCCCTCTCAGGTGTATCTGCCCTTCCTATTGCTGTGTTCCTCTCTGTCTCCACCCTGCAGCTGGAAACCTGAGCTCCCATTGTGAACCATAATTCAGCAAATCTTACCCATAGAAAATGGTAGAAAATAGTCATTTTTCCAGAACTTCCCATCCTTCAGGAAATGCTCGGGGTTAAAAGCTTCAGGGGTTTTCCACTCATTCTTATCAAACAGCAGAGAGGTTAAGTTTGTCATTACAGCAGTGCCCTAAGAGGAAAAAAAAAAGAAAAATAAATCACACTTTCTCTGGCACTGACAGCAAGCGGGGCAGTTTTATCTTCCAGGCTCCTCTCCACAAGGAACATCCACAGTCAAATTCTACTGAAATTATTTGAGCAACACCTCACTGCAGGGCCAGATCTTTCTACTTCTTGTCTGTTTGGAGGTGCAGTTATATAATTGCACTTTTCCCTCATCAGCATCATTTTTATGTGTTGTAATCTTGGGCCAAAGTTCCTGTCAGGGCTGTGAGCTTGGCTCTSTGCCTCAAAGCCATATGTGTGGGGGTGTGGTGCCATTCAGGGAGCAGGAGAATATTGTTTAGATGGCAAAAATCCACATTCAGCAGGAGTGAACTCTGGCCAGGGCAGGGAGCTGGCAGTCTCCCTGGAGCCCCAGCACTCCYGAGTTTACCTTTGGGATGTAGTAGCCATCCACGTAGGCGTCCTGCGATGCCATTCTCGGCACGTTGAAAGGGACAACGTTGCCTTTCCTCTGCACTTCATGGATGACAGCGTTGGTGTAGTGCAGGTTGTTCCTGTCCTCCAGGGCTGGGGGCCGTGCCTGGCCGATGACAGCATCAATCTCAGCTTGAACCCGGGCTGGAGAGAGAGCAGGGATCAGCCCAGGGAAAAACCCTTGGAAAAATATCAGGTGATTGCTGTAAGGGCCCACCAAGGGACCTGAGACACTGTTCACACCTCTTAGAGTGTGGGGACATTCACAACTGGTGTCTCACAAAGCTGTGAGGGAGAAAAGCAAGAAAACACTGGCTTTTTGTGAGCTGTACCTTGAATTTCTGGATGTGTGGCCATAAACAGCAAAGCCCAGCGGATGGTCGMGGAGGTGGTCTCGGTCCCAGCAAAMATCAGGTCGAATGTGCAGGCCATGAGGTGTTCCTCTTGGAAGGTGGCACTGTCCTTGTCCTTCACGAGATGGTGTGTCAGTGTCACGGGGAGAGTGAGAGTCTCCTGGCACCAGCCTTGGTCCAGMCCACCCCAAGGATTTTGGCAGAAGCTGCTGATCCCCTGTGCTCCCATCCCACTGATGGGTGGCCTGAACCTGCTGTCTGCCCTGAGCTCATAAAAGGCCACASAGGCAGCTCAGATGGACAATCTGGGCTTCTTCCCCATCCCTTCTGATTTCTAAGCCCTGCTCCAGRAGGGTTTTCCCCACTGCTGACCTTGGATATCTCCAGCAGGTAGCTGTCGATGTAGTCCCGGAGCTCCGAAGGGTTCCAGTCCTCCTTGTGTTTATTGATCTGCTCTTGCATATATTTTTTCAGCAACCTCCAGTTTTTAAAAATGGTTTGGTGGGCTCCAGGTAAGTGCTTCATGATAGATGGGAAATGGTTGTACAGCTTGGAACACGAGAGGAAAAAGACAAATTGAATAAAGGACTTAAAAACTCTTCTGATGCCAAAACTTGAGAAGCTTGCAATTGCACTTTTTGGATTTCTGGACATGATGAAAACAGTTCACCTCCAGAAAAGCAGAATTGTCATTATGGAGTGATTTGTGTGTTACCCTGTGTTTCAGCAGTCAGGTTGGCAATCAGTGGGTAGGAAAAGCGATTTTGGGTGAGAAAGAGCAGTGTGAGCACAGCACAACTTGAACAGAAGGCAGAAAGAAATTACAGGCAAATGTACCCTGAGCAAAGGAATAGGGATTACAGGAATGGTGATGACCCCTGAATTTTGAGGTTGACTCCAGAGAAGAAACTGCAGCCCTGGGTTGGTGGCAGGAGGGCTGTACCTGGCTCGTGATGGCTCCATGGAGGACAGTCATGTCGTACATCAGCTTCAGCARCCTTTGGAAGTCCTCATCGTGGTATTCAAACCGGTTTCCAAAGATGAGAGAGCAGATGACATTTGAAACAGCATTAGTGACTTTGGGCTGAGGGTTGAAAGGATTCCCTGGAGAAGAAAAAGATCAGTTCTCTTCCACTCCTCTCAGAAAAGGAGAAGACACCTTTTCAGAGGTAAAATAGTCAAGAAATATAAATTGAGTGGCCCCTAATGGGCACTGTCCTAGGTCAGTGCTTTGCTGGGGTGCCTGGCTGACCCCATGAGCTGGCCAAGCTTGGTGGGGCAATCCCACTGATCCCAGTTCAATCAGATTATGGAGATGTTTGTTTACTTGGGAAAGCAAGGTCTGCAGAGTGTCATTGGAATTCCTAGGAAATATCAGCATTTGTGTACACACGGTATATCCCAGAGAGGAGCAGGCTGGAGGAGGGCTATAAATAATGCAGTGGGTGTTGCCTGGCTGCGTTCCCCAGCCAGCTGGGAGGCAGAGCACCTGCAGGAAGGAGCAGRGGGGCTGGCAGGGTTGGAGCATCCCTTGCCAGGTGGGGTATTTGGCAGCATGCAGTGAAATTGTAGCAGTTGATCCCTTCAGCAGAGCTGCTGAGGCCGTGGCACTCACCCTGTTCRTCCCTGAACGCATCTGCCAGGTAGCGGCACTCCTCCTGGATGCGCTCCTCCAGGCTCCTCTTCCCCAGGCCGAAGTTCCGCAGCGTGGTCAGGGTGAACCTCCTCTGTGCCTTCCACAAGTGCCCGCTGGAGGAGATCAGTCCTGGCAGGAACACCCCATGAACCAGGGAGAACAGCTCCAGGGCTCTGCAGGGCCAAGGCTTGGACCTCACAGCTGAGGCACCCCTTGGGGGATAACTCACCGATCTTGTTGAAAACCTCCTCATCAAGGGGAATGTAAGGGCGGTCCATGAACTTGTCCCCTTGCTCTACGAGCACTTCCTTCACCAGCCTCATCCCATTTACCATCACAAACTTCATGCCACCCATGTGCAGGCCGAAGATGTCACCATATCTTTTACTGAGCTGGGAGGGGACGTAAATGAAAGGGGTTTTGTTTGTAATGAATGTGCCTGGTGAGACTGGGACAGCCCTGTCAGGGGACATGGGTGAAAATAAGGGAAGATGAGAGTGGGAGGGGAGACAGAATGTGTGCACTGTGCCTGAGGGTTTAGTCTTTTCTCTTTCCTCTTTTCCTGAATCAGTGATCAGGAGTTGGTGTTAATTTGCCATAAATCAAGTAAACCTCTCCAGGTTTGATTTTTCAGTCCTATTTCTTTCCAATTTTTGTTTCGCCTTATTTGAACCCCCACTCAGACCTATGGGGTTCATGCATCTGTGACTGCACCTGTGYTATGGTGTTGTGCCCTTTGCCCACAGGATTTATCCCCCTCTTTGTACTCAGGTAAATGTCACTGGTGAGGGCAAAGCTCKTGTCAGCCTTCAGGACCAGTTTGGGTTATCCCTTCCCTGCACAGCCAGGGCTGTGGAGCTGCAATCCCTCCATCCCCTYCCCACACTGCCCAGCACACACATACCCTCTGCACTGTGACCGCTGGATCTTTGAAGTCCACAAGGTAGATGTGCCCCAAAAAGGGAAGGCGGAATGGGGTGGGAGGGAAATTCTTTGGATTTCTGTTCTTCATGTAGTCAGCGATGAGCAGGAAGACGAAGAGAAAGATGAGGAATGTCTGGAGGGAGATGCTGTCCCAGAGGAAGTGCAGCATGGCTGGATGGTGGGGTCTGCAGGGATGTGTCCCACAGCAGGTCAGGGCAGGCTGAGCTCACAGGGGGAGATGGGTGATGTGCTGCTGCAGCTGTGGGTGCAAACACAAGAGAGCACAGAGCAGCTTTTGCTGGCCTGCTCTACAAGCTGATTTCCCAACTTTCAGAAAGGATTAAAATCCCTCTTGATTAAATGGAAACATTTCCTCTGATCTGATTTTAAAACAAACTCCACCACGAATCAGAACACCCTCAGGTCCCACTTTCCCCTTCAATATTTTACTGAACCCTAGTTCTCCATGGCCTTGTCTAAAGGACAGAAATCAGCTTTGTGGGATCGAGATGAAAACCTTCTGGCAGCTTCCCCGTGCTCAGGATAAGCCCAGCTCCCCCTTCCCTGGTGCTCTCACCGTGCTGTGTCCCCACGTTGCCTTCTCGGTGCCAGGGAACCTCAGCTGCTCGAGAGCCTCAGGCTCCCCTTGTTTACAGCAGCTCCCTCGCTGCTCTGATGAGTCCCGGGCCAAGCCCCAGGTCTCAGGGGACACCCGAGATAAGGTTGTACAAACCTTTCCCAAGCCATCTGAGTCACAGTTTCGTGTTTCCGTGTGGCAGGGTGACGTGGGCTGGGAGTGAACAGCTCTCCAGGAACTGCAGCYGTTCCTAAGCACCATCATTTTCTGATCTCTGCCGGATGAGTACAGCCAGAGCAGCTTGTTCCAGCCATGCCATGAGCTCTCCAACAATCCCTTTCCCCCTTTGCCCTGTCCTTTGGGCCGTAGCCCCTGGTGAAGTTGTTCCCAAAACCTCACAGAGCTCAGGCGGGTGCTGAGGAGCCAATGCAGAGGGTTGGGGCCATCTGGGGATCTTTGGGGTAGCTGGCAACAGAATGTKCCATGTTTACCCACCCAGGAGCAGCTCCAGATCAGGTTCACACACAGATCACATGTAATTTTGCTGTATATATTGTGTTTTATTGTGTTATATTGTGTTATATTGGGAAAGAAGCAGCAGCACTTTGCCCTTKCATCACGTGGCTCTGCCACAGCCCTTTGCGGTCATCAGAACCTTTTGGGTTCCTTTTCTCCCTTTTRGGGCCATCAGTAGTGGCTGTTGGGACTGTCCAGTGTTGATCACAAGGCACAGAGGTGCACCAGAGCCACTGGAGTGATGCCATACACRTGTTTTCTACAACCCTTACACTTGGGAAGCTTGAGAAGTCAAGTCTCTGTTTCATTGTGGAATTTAAAGAGGAAACGCCTGTTTTTGAGGAGAATCCTTTTATCTCTGGTTTTTAGGAACACTTAGGCATGAGCCCATGGAGATGCAYGTGTTCCCCAGCACTCACATGGGATAAAAGTAAACAAATTCGTGCCTCCTGCCTTTATGGTATGGCATTATTGCATATAATTTTGGTCATTTTCCCCAGCTGATTTAAGAAAAAGAAGATGACTTCAATCATWTATTCTCTCAGTGGAGAGGGGAGGAAACCCTATAGTAGCAAGGAAACAAAGGTTGGGAATGAAAGAGGAAAGAGATCAACATTTATTTGTGAAGCCATTGCAAATAAGACAGAGGTCAGACCTACAGCAGAACAAATAAAAAAGAACAGAGAGAAACTAGTGCTTAGCGCTGAGTGGCTTTGAAAACTTCATCTGTGGAAAAAAAAAAAAAAATCCCGAATCTTTTATGTTTCCTCTTTAACAAAGACAAAAACACGACATGGGAGCCCATGACTGTGAAACAATAATTAAAAACGCAATAGGATTAGAGTGATCAGTGACAGAATCCCCGTGCGCCCGGCGTGGCAGGGATGCGATGTGCAGAGGACTCTCCCCTGTGGCATAAATCTGCCACTGCACAGGGCCTGCTTTGTACCGCAGCAAAGCCGTTATTGGGACAGAGGAGAAAAACAGTGGAAATGAAGCTCGATGTAATCCTCTTTTCCTGTTAACTATTCCGTATCCTATGCGGGTACCCATAGAAAAGTCGCTTATGAAAGGTAAAGCAAAAAAAAGCCGAGGAAATCGAATAATCTTTGCTGTGACTGTCATGTAAAGTGAAGCACACAGGGGACAGCATTTCTAAGCATAAATGCTCGGTCACAGAAATGGAAAGATTCTCTACAAATTGCATRTTTAATTACCTTTTCTGAAGTGACCTGGCACGGGAAGGAGCTCTGTGTCCATCACGGAGGGTGCCCTGTCCCAACCCCCCTTCCTCCGCCCCATGCTATGGCCATGCTGGTCACGCACGGCCACAAATCTTTGCTAGGAACAGAGGGGAAGTGTTCAACTCATGACTTCCCACCACAAAGCCACTGTTCTGACGCTTCCTTCCTGAGAGCCAGCGCTGAGCTGCCACAGGCACGGCTCTCCCAACCCTCTCTGCTGGTCCCTTTCTGCTGGGCTCCAGGTGAACTGCTCCCCAGCAACCCCAGGGATTATTTTATTGCAGCTTTTCTGATTTGTACTCTACTCACTCAAAACTTTGGCTTTTCTAATATAAAACTGCAATGTTGTATTTTTATAGCCCTTCCAGACCTGCTGGAAGCACMGCTCCCTGTGCCATCCCACTTGGGTTGGGYTTTGGTAGAAGCTGCTCCTCACTCCTGTAGCCTCCTAATTAAAAGCTCCCCATACTCTCTGTGAGATCCAAAAATTTCATGCTGTTGCTGCAGATTTTTTATCCCTGGAAGTGTTGAAGGACAGGGTGGGTAGGTTTTGGAGCAGCCAGGTCTTGGGGGAGGAGTGCCTCGGGGTGGAACGAGGAGACCTTTAAGGCCCTTTCCAAGCCAAAGCATTCCTTGATTCTGTGATTCCATCACAAAGTAGCAATGGGATGGTGCAGGGAGTGCCCAGCACACTGAGCCCAAGCCCACCTGAGGCTAAGGATAGGCTGTGGCCACAAGGAAGTCCAAATTGGTGCTGAATCATGAACCCAGAGCTTCTGTGTCCAAGGTCAGCTGTGCTCTCACCAGGGACACCTCAGCTATTTGGGTGCTGCAGTGTTGGGATTTGGGGGTTGCTAAGTGGTTTCTRGGTGATGGACATATTCCCTATTGAAAAGTCAGCATTTAAACCATGCTTTTGCAGCTGGCAGACACCTTCCTGGGCATTGCTGACAGAGGAAATTAGGTAATAAGGCTTTTAAATCYGTGCATTTTGTTAGGCAGGTAGCAGGGATCAGGAATGAGAGGAAGGGAAGAGCCACAAGGGTTGTGTTTGCTGCAGGACGTGCCCTTTGTGCCCTTCCCCTGCGACCCAGATGGGTGCTGGGTCGCCAAGGCCCATGATTTCAGCCCAGAATTTCGGGGGCAGTTGGGAGAAGGGGCATTTCCCAGTTTGTGGGGCTGCAGAGGGGTTTGGGGCAGCCCCAGGCCTGGTTCAGGTGCGGGGCACAGCGCAGAGCTGGAAGGGTTTGGGACAGCGCGTGAGGCTGAGCGTGAAGGCGAAGGACAACTCGGTTTCTGCCGGGGCCTGGAAGGTGAACTTCTGCAGCAGGGCTACGATGAAGATAAAGAGCTCGGTCCTGGCCAGCTGCTCCCCGGGACAAGCCCTCTTGCCTGGAAAAGGAGCACAAATAACCCGAGAGAGTCCCGAGCGAGCTCTGAGCCTCCTCCGGCCYGCGCTGTCTCGCACAGGCTGCGGCAGCTTTTCTTCTTGGAAAGGTTAGGTGGCAATGTTCACCCACACAATCTGCTCAAACCTTCCCCAGAAGTTTCCTGCCGAGCAAACTGCGCCTCTTCCGAGAGGCGAAGAGCGGAATGGTCTGAAAAACGCAGTTATGCAACTTGTGCAAGAAGGAAAAGCCTTATTTTTTTTTATTTTTTTTTTTTTGATCCTGCAATAACAAATTGATTTCCTTCCCGCCCCGAGCAGCCACTATGAACTGTGACTGGGATTTTCACTGTGGGGATGGGCTGGAAGCCGGACAGGAGCAGAACTCCCTACTCTATAAGCAGTGTCTTGGGGGATAAAAAGCAAAGCTTTGCAAAAAGGAGAGGCACCTCCCCATCCATCATCCTACCTGCAGAGAAGGGCAGAAAAGCCTCCCGCCTCCTGTACTGGCCGTTTTCCAGGAAATGCTCAGGATTAAAGGTGTCTGGAGTCTCCCACACGTTTTTGTCGAACATTATGGAAGTCAGGCTGGTCATCAGGGTGGTGCCCTGTGAGAGGTGGGGAAAAGGGGCGATTACACGGCACAGAGGAGCCGATGTGTTGTCAGACTGGGTTATTATTAGCTCTGTAAACTACACTCTTTTAAGGGAAAAACGGGTTTTTTTCTTTTCCCCCTAAGCTAGATAACTAAATGAGGGTGAAAGCCTGCGGGATTGTTCACTTGTGTGTGCCTTTACAAATCGCCGGGTGTTGATCTGCACCTGGAGCTGCAGTAACAGGTGATGTAAATGGAAACCAACTTTAAATTGGTAGCGCTGCATTCCCATAGGAATTTTAGGCAATTTATCAAGTAATTTTCAATTGATTTGTTTAAATGTGCTTTTTTTTTAAAAAAAAAAAAAAAAAAAAAAAAAAACTGATCTGGTTTATCTCCACATTCTTCAACAGCAAGCGAAATATTCTTATCAGAGTGGAGGAAAATGGCCTAGATTTTTTGATTTTTAATTTTCCTTATTGCAACCAGTCATACAAAGGGAAGAGACCAGTTATGTCTAAATCCCATATTTGCTTTTGTAATTGCAGGTCAGTGTGTGTGGAACAATACCCATTACCTGCCTTTCATTGGGTGCTACTTTTAATAGATAATTTTTAGTATTTTGTGTAATTAACAAACCCAAACTGTTTGCATTCCTATGTTTCCTAGCCCTCCATTCCCATAATGTGTGGAGGGCATCCTTTATAAAATTTAAGGGCTAAACTTTTTTAAATCACTGTAAGGATCTCACAGCTCTCCTCTGTGAGGAGGTGAGACCCATAACATCCCCACAGAATCCATTAAGAGGGCTGGTATTTTCTATATAATTATGACATTTCTATWGGATCCTGCTGGTTGGTTGCCTGCCAGGGGAGATTTGGGAGTTGGGCTGTGAAGACCCTGCTCTGGTGGGGTG